CAGGTTCCCATAGCTGTGACAAAATACCTGAGAAAATCAACTTAAATGAGAACAGGTTCATATTGACTCATTATTTCATAGCTTTCAGTCCCATGGTTGTTTTGGGCCTGTAGTAAAGCTGCACATCCTGGCTGCAGCACATGATAGAACAAAGTTGCTTACCTCAAGGTGGCTGAGGAACAAAGAGAGAGATAGGAAGGGCCCACATACTCAATATCCCACTTAAGGGCACACCTCCACCAACCTAACCTCCTTCCATGAGGTCCCATCTCTTAAAGTTTGCCCCACCTCCTGAAAACATCACAGGCCAGAAACTGAACCTTTATGGAAGACATTCCAGATCCAAACTATAAGTGAAGTGGAGCACAGGAGCTTCATAGGCAGAGGGGCAGCACTCACAAAAGAGTTCAGCACACTCAGGACACTAATCTGATTAACACGGGGTCAGGGTGATTTCTGCCTCTACCACTTGCTCACTGCATAATTTTTCATCTCTGAGCCAAGATTTCCTCATTTGAAAAATGGGAATTATGACTGTGATGTGAATTCTCTGGAACCCCAATCCTGGACAGAATGTCTTCATGCCACATTCTTCATAGTGTCTTCATACCATGATTGAAACCCTTACTACTGAATAATTCTTTTGCACTACGAATAGAATTTTCATTTCCAGATGTGAGCTTTTGCAGTTCTCACAAAGATTTTGTAAGGTAGGTTTCTGTACGTCCCATTGCACAGATAGGAGAACTAAAGCTTGTTTGAAATCAAGAAATGCTTCAAGTCTCCCAGTTAGTAAGTAGCAAACTTGAAATGAAACACTGGCCTCTCTGGTTCCAACAGTGATTTTGTTGTTGTTTCTCAACATGTAGATGTATTTCCTTCATAGTGACCTATGTCATCAAGACATTTCATCAATTAAGTCACTAGCCTAGCCAGACATTGGTGATAGGGTATGCGGATCAGAACAGTTGTGATGGATGGTGATGAAAATTCAATAGTATAGTTACTGGAGAAAGGAAGTTTCTGGAACCCAGAACTAGACTGAAAATTTCATGGTTTTATGAAGGATTTTGTGGACAATACCACCATACTGTGAGAGCATAAAATGAGGCAGGATGGGGAAAATAGCAGCAAAATAATAAATGTCGTGTGTGTGTGTGTGTGTGTGTGTGTGTGTGCACGCGTGTGCGCGCACATCCTTTTTGACAGAAGCTTTCTTATTACATCATTGTTGTACTGCAATCTGTTATAAGTTTAAATAAATATACTCTTATGCACCATTTCACAAAGAATGGAAGTGAGGCCAATAATTCTGATGCAGAGTTGCCCCATCCAGGCCCCAGGTCAGCAGAGGGGMTTCTCTACAAAGCATTCTTCTTGCCTTTGTTCAGTGCTGTTTCCAGGGAACAACAGGCAAATTTGATCCGTGCTCTTTCACTACAACACCCATCAGGCACTGCCTGTCCTGTCCCAGATTCTGCCAAGTACTCAGCGCTGGTGGTTCTCAGGAGGTTCCTTAGACAGTGGAGGTATCAGTGAGTGACTGTAAAAAACACACAATTTATTGAGGGGTACTCTAACACAAAACAGTGATCCAAATTATGGGGGCCTTCCTTGTGCTATGAGAATGCAGAATTGAAAGACTGTATCTGCCTGTGACAGATGCAGTGAGATAAATGCTTCCATGAATAAATGTGGAATTTGAGTTAATGTTTAAATGGCACTCAATGTGTTGTGTCCCTAAACCTACAGGAAACAAACACTGGGAAACTGAGATATTTATGCTCCTTCCCCTATGACCACTTTACCTCCTATAGTCCTGTGATGTACCTCATGTCCTCATCCTATCATCCTCTTCCTAGAGACACTGGATCCATCTTTTCCCACATGTAACATTCAAGTCCAGTATATCTCTTGCTTTCTCTAAGAAAAACTCTCCGAACCTTCTCTGCTTTGAACTGGGTCAGTCTCCTCTGAGTGTGCATGACTCCGCACATTCACCTTTACAAGCTCTGATGGGCGCTGTGTGGTTGTTCTTCTCTCTGATGGGCAGTAAAGCTCCTACGAACTCAATTGCTACCAGAGTCTTGTGCAGTGGCAGACTAGAAGCAGAAGAGAACAGGAGTGTACAATACACACATGTGCAGCATTACAACTAGCGTGAGAAGCTGAAATGTGGTAGAATAAGAAACTTGAGGCCAAACTTGCATCCCCTGGGCAGTAAGCCATTGAATCAAAAATAAAAGTAGCATTTGGGGTGAAAAGGTGGAGTTGTCAGCTGTTAGAATTAAGGACTTAGGAACTCAGGCCCTCTGTTTAATCCATTATGACCCATACTCCTACGACCTATTAATGGATTTAGAACATATATTGTGTCTGGCCCAATGTCCTTGCTTTCTATGTGTTGTCACTATATATGTATCAGACAATTAATTATTGAGGCATCCTTTTCTAATGGATATAAGTATCCCCATTTTACAGGTAAGAAAGACATCAATCTTAAAGAGGTGAAGTTATCTAAGGTGAACAAGCTAAAATTCTATGGCCATTATAGACCAAAATCTGTGCTCTTTCCCATGCCAGGTACTCATTATTCTGAGATGGAGGGTAGTTTGCTTCCTGTAGACYTCATTTCACTTGTGTAAAACTTCAGTTTAGAAGACAGGCACAGATGCACAGATGGGGTGGGGTGGGAAGGTTTTCAGAGGGGTAGGTGTTTGTAAAAATCTCTCTGCATTTGGGCAGTTCCTTTTTACAATCTGGAGCCATCAATGACCTTTTGGTTATACTCACTTAATTTCATAGAAATAAATTGTGAAGTTGTGTTTGAAAATTAATCATAGGCAAGTCTGACTTCATTTTTCTCCTCATTTCAGAATTTTTAAATTTACAAGGATATTTYTTGATCTTGGTCAAAAAGTGATTAATTTATCCTTATGTATGCTCAAACTGAGGATTTTAATTACTTAGCAAATAGTGAGAAGTTGAGTTTTCCTGGGTAGTGGATTTGAAATATAGGCAATCCCATCCAGTTGAAGCCACTATTTGCCTTTACTTTACTCATGTAAAATAGTACATCATGAATCTCTTTTAAGTTATGATGAAATAGCCTTACTTTTGTTCTATTTATTTTTTGCTTAGCATTATGTTGAGGAATTTATTATGTTTTCATCTTGAGGTTAATTCATTTTCATTGCTACATATTATTCTAATATATAATTTTTAAAATTTATTTAGAAAAAAATAAATGACAGCAGAATGCATTACAATTCTTATTACACATATACAGCAATATTTTTCATATATCTGGTTGTATATAAAGTATGTTGACACAATTCATGTCTTCATACATGTACTTTGGATAATGATGTCCATCACATTCCACCATCCTTGCTAATCCCCCTGCCCCCTTCCTTTTTTTCTCACCCCTCTGCCCTATCTAGAATTCATCTATTCCTCCCACTCTCCCTCTTCCTACCCCATTTTGAGTCAGCCTCCTTATATCAGAGAAAACATTCAGCATTTGGTTTTTGGGGATTGGCTAACTCCACTTGGCATTATCTTCTCCAAAGMCATCCATATACCTGCAAAAGCCATGATTTTATTCTTTTTTATTGCTGAGTAAAATTCCATTGTATATATATATGCCACATTTTTTTTTAATCTATTCATCCACTGAAGGTACCCAAAAGACTTATATACAGCATAATACAGGGACACCACCACATCAATGTTTATAGCAGCACAATTCACAATACCTTTGTTCTATTATAAAATTAATACAAGCTTACCATAAAAGTTTTTATGATAAAATAGGAAAACTCTCTATTAGGTTTTTTTGGCACATATTTGTCAAATGTGTGTACAATATATAAGTTGGTTTAAAAGATCTTATCTTTTGTCTTTAATAATACCCAAAGTGGAGGACACTATGTAAAATGAAATGAGCCAGGCACCAAATGACAAGTATGGACAAGATGTGATGCCCGTGTGGAACCCATAAAGTTGACCTCATAGAAATTAAGAGTAAAGTRATGGTTAATGGAGGCTGGGGAGGGAAGAGATGGGAAGAGGTACTAGGCTGTATTCAGACAGGAGAAATAAGTTCTGGTGTCCTATTGCACTATATAGTGACTATAGATAATAATAATCTACTATTTATTTTAGGAAAGCTGGAAGAAAAGATTTTTGAGTGTTTTTACCTCAATGAAATTATAAATGGTTGAGGAAATATATATGCTTACTCTAATTCAAACATTACACAAGGCTCACATATCAAAATATCACATAGTACCCCATCTGCAGGTATAATTTTATCTGAATGAAAATATCCCATAATTACAAGGTAAAAAATAATAAATAATAAAATTTTTTATAAGCACTATATTGATATAGYTAGCATAGAACAAGGAGGGAATGGCAAGGATGCAATGTATTTACCTTTCTGTTCAAACATCAAGTCTTTCTTTGCTGACTATTCTTTTCTGCTGACCTCAGAAGAATCCTCAGAATCCTTCTGAACACAGGTTTCTGGGAAGACAGAATGACTCAAGCAGAGTTGGCATAATAAATTATATCTCTTTTTGATCTCCAGTGTCAAGACTAAGATGTGGAGATCAAATGATTCCAACTGTCAGAAGCAAATTAATAAGGAAGATAAATCATGAGAGGTTGTTACAAACCAGGCATCTGACAGTAAAGCCTGACATAGGTACTTGTCCCCTCAAACAAAGTCTGATGTATCACTAATGAGAGTTTTTTTATTTACAGTCTGATGATCAGTTCACTTTGACTCAGTGTGTGGTGGTTGCTTGTAAATGAATAATTCCTCTGAGCCTAATTAGATTGGGTCTAGTCTATATGCTTCCTGTTGAGGTGGGACCTTCCAGAACTCAAGAACATTGTTGTGAATTGGATAATGCTTAAGATTGCAAAAACAGGAACAGGAATCCCAAGGATAAATGCTGATTTTTCTTTTCCTCCTCTCTTTTTGTGCCCAGAATCGGATGTTGCTGACTTTGATGGCCGAAGCTCACTTCTCTACAGGTTCAATCAGAAACTGATGAGCACACTCAAAGATGTGATCTCCCTCAAGTTCAAGAGCATGCAAGGAGATGGGGTCCTATTCCATGGAGAAGGTCAACGTGGAGACCACATCACCCTGGAACTCCAGAAGGGGAGGCTTGCCTTGTACCTCAACCTGGGTAGGATCAGGCTCTGTCCACTCCCTTTCTATTCCTGTCAAAAAAAACTGTTCTTCATAACAAGTCACAGTAGCACATAAACACTAGTGCTTTCAGTACATCACAGGGAAATCCCTGGAATTACAAGTGCCCTATCACCTTTACCTGCCTGGGGGTAGAAAAGTACCATATTTTGAAATACTTAAATAGTAGATGGCTTTATTTGACAAATGGTGGTATTGCTATGTAGAGGGAACTACCAATTAACTATTATTTGTTATGTATCTCTTTGTCTATGTATCTCTTTTCTAGTTATTTCTTTTAGCAACTCAAATTTTAGCAAGTTTAAGCACATGTGTATTATAATGAGCATGCCATCTCCTTTATGAAATAATGATCATTTATGATAGTTAGATTTTAGGGGAAAGTGGAGGAGAAATATTTAAGTTGTTTTGGGTTATTTCTTCAGGAGTTGGGGAGGGAGGGATGTGATATATGTAAAGCTGCAGGGGGGTGTTAAGTCTGCACATTCCCTTGTCTTAAGGGAAACCTTGTTATTTTTTAATGTGACTTGGTTGTGCCAGAGTGAATCAGAGTTGTCCAATGCCAGCTTGTTTAGTGCAAATTGCCCTCCTTCCTCCCAAGGRGTTAGGACCTGAACCTCCTGGGACCTGAGTTAGCTTTTGCATGGCTTTCCACCTCACTGCACGCAGGTCTGTATTTCATTGTAGTGGGCTCCCCTAACACAGGGAAGAAAAGAGCGGGGCTCAGACTGCTTCAAGTGATCAAGTGAAGAAGGGTAAGCAAAGTGCAGAAGGCAGGGGACCAGAGCACCCCAAGATGACAAGGCAAACCAAAAAGGCTCATCTGTAGGTAAAAACAAAATCCAAATATACAACATCAACAAAACCACACAAAAAAAGACAAGATAGGGGCTGAAGTTGTGGCTAAGTGGTAGAGCGCTCGCCTAGCACATGCAAGGCCCTGGGTTCGATCTTCAGCACCATATAAAAATAAATAAAATAAAGGCATTGTGTCCAACTACAATATATATATATATATATATATATATATATATATATATATATATATTTTAAAGACAAGATAAAGAGAGAGAGTAAGTGGCCATTTAATAAAAGAGTGCCACCACTTTGGCTCCAATTTGATATTTATTAACATTAAAGGGAGGGGAAGAGAATTGTCTTTTAGTATTTACTATCAAATAGCAGCAACAAAGGAAAGACATAACTGATTGTAGTTTGTAACTCAAGTTGCATAGGAGACTAGAAATATAAAAACAGCAAAATATGTTTCAGCAATTAGCAGACCGTTTTAAGAAGGAAGAGTGGTGTTCTCATCTATCACCCCCAAATCCAAACAAATGAGTATTTTGAGGTATTTCTGAGAGCCCTCTTGAGCTCTGTGATGAGCAGGGTGGCAGGAAGAACCTACAGAATCCGTAGTTCAATTCAAAATTGGCATCTTTATTCAGATGCTTAGAAACATGCAAAGTGTGATGTTCTTTTCAAGAGATACTCTTTGATGACTCGTATTTCCATTATCTAAGTACCAGTACATTGTCTGACTTCAACAGAATAAGTTCTGTAGTGAAATTTACTAGGTAGTTCTCTTTGGCCTAATCTTTTAAGGTAGAACATTGAATTTTCCAGACTACTAAATGGGAAAGACATTTCTTCTTTCAATCCCTAAGGGGGTTAGAGAGACTCCCCTTCCTAGTTTTTGCACATCTCATTCAGATCGCCCATGGCAATCTTCCCTCTACAGAATGACAACAACCAGTACCCACATAGGCAGGTGGAGAATCAAAGAGCACAAGAATTACGTGACTCGGAAACTGTTGTAAGAACTAAACAAGACATCAATAGTGCACTCAGGTCACTCATCCTTACAAGAATTCATTGCCTTTGAACTGAGGCAGAATGTTTGGGCGATCTCTAATACGAACAGCTGGAATAGAATAAACATGTGCAGAGCTGATGTCCTTTGGRGCCAAGTGCAACACTTGAAGACCAAAGCCCTCAATTGCATGGTCAGATCATTGAGATCTCAGTGAAAGCTTTTCATAGCCTCTGAAGGGTCAAATGAACATTTATTTACTGTGCTCTTTCGAAATTCGGTCATTTTAATRAGTCAACTCACACATATTTAAGGAAGATAATTTTTTYTCAGATTGCCACTTTTAAGAGCCAGAATCTTGCACTGTATTAAACATTTTGTGTGTCTATATATACATACGTACACATACACACCTATATATATACATTAACATTATATATGATATTATATATGAATATGTATACACATATATATGTTTCATTTAAGTTATAAAGCAGTCCTATATGTTATATCTAAACTCAGTTAGTGACCCCAGTCAGTTACTTAAGATCACACTGCTGCATAGCTATAGACCTGGGATTAGCACTCTCTCCAAATCTGTAAACCTCCATAAAAAAATTATATATTAAATATCAGGCAGACTACATTTATGAATCAGATTGTGAGAAGAGAGATCGGGATGAGACATGTGCATCTAGGATTAACCTTGCATTTTCTGAAGATTCAATTATGAGGAGGGGAAGGAGATTGGCATTGCAGACAAAGTGTCAGTGGGATGAGGTGTTCCACATTTCTGTCATTTATGTAATAAGAAGAGGTTAAACAAGTACATTAAGTCAGGSCCTGAGCTCAGTGAAAAGTTGGATTTGCCAGTTGCAGCCTAGTAAAATAACTTTTTCTACTTATGTTCTAACTTTGTAGTATTTATAAAATCTGTAGTAGCTATGAATCATCAAAACCATGTAACATAAACAGGTTAAGATAACACTTTCCTAAAGTAACAAAGTCACAGAGAATGAATATAAATTAGGATCCAGAGCTGAACAACTCCTAAATCTGGAAAGTATTTTTATTCACTGAAAAGACATGGATTTCATTGTTTTATTGGTACATAGAGATTTGCCTGACTTAAAGGTCAGGTTCACTGCASTGGCTTATTTCCTGTTAGTTTCTTATTTTCTTCAGAGGTCTGACTTGGGTGCTTAAAAGACTATTCATAAATCTTGCATACCATCAAGCAAGGATATAGGGCTAGCTTTCTGGAACTGTGTAGCCTATGGAGATAAAATTTGCCTTTTCTCTCTATTTCATATCCGTCCCCTTCAGTATGGCACCCTTTTCATCTGCCATAACTATCTGCTTTACAGTTCATCCAAGTATTTTCTGAGACCCTGCATTTCTACTAAGCAGCATAGCTTACCATGTTTCTACAGTGGGGAGCAGACAGTATGAATACAGAAAATAAGGGAGAAATACAAGCACTTTTTTTTTCAGTAAAAGGAGTGGTGAGAATATTAGTTTTGAAATCAGATGAAGTAGGTTGAAACCCTAATCTTTGTGACCTGGGGTAAGTCATGTGACTTTTTGGAGACAGGGCTTTTGACAGAGTTGTGATCAGAAATAATTGAAACAATGTATGTGAATTTTACCTTCTGGGAGATGCTTAATAAGTACAAGTGATTATTAGTATTGATAATCTGACAAGTTCAAGGTTGGGAGGTGGATTCTGAAAGTCTGGTGGAGGCAGGCATAGGAAGGTTCACATGAGTGGCCACCTGTTTTAACAAAGAAAATTAATCTCCTTCTAAGAACAACTTTGGCCAAAATGTCATCTAAATAAATGTTATCATCTCCCTTTTCTCAGCCTTTCTGAATTTCACAAAGAAAGTTAATGTGGCATTCATATTTGAACAGTTATGATAAATCTAGAAAAGATTTAATAAAACAATGAATATAGGTGAAAACAGTGCTATATGTTGACCTTAATTTAAAAAAAAACAATAAAAATTTAAAAAATGAGTCCTAAAAGAAGTGAGAGGACTGACATGTCTATCCACAGCACTTTGGGGTAAGGGACCGAATAAAGAGATGAACTTAAAATTGCAAGCATTTCAAGTTTCATGTATAAATTTTGCTGCTTAGGGTCTTAGATGTTACATATATCAATTCATTTTAACTCTATCTCAGACCAAGTTTTTATTTAATTGGAATAATTTTTCCTGTGCTTCCAACCCACAAGTTAGCTTCTTCATCATCTTCTCTCTTTTATCCTTCACAATTGCCCATGAGAATTTTTAATATTGCTTTAATAAATTGGAAACTAGTTAAAACTAAGTAACAGAACTTCAARTGCCACTGAGATAAAACTTGAAATAGATATTCAAAGATAAACAGTGTAATCATTTCCTGAGAATTGAATTTTTGTTGTAATGTCTAATAATGAAGATTTCTAGATGATTCAAACCCTTCTAAATGATTTGCAGAAATTCTCTTTTCCCAATTGTTTAACCAAACCAACATTCACTTAACTTGTTTTAATGCAAAATATCTTCGTGGTAGTGTAAAATAACTAAAGAAGAAGGGGAGTTAAATTCAGTCCTGAGTTATCTTTTTTGRTTAATTTAAAAGCACATGTGATCTACTGGTGCAGTTCAGCGGTWGAACAACTACCTAGCATGCTTAAGGTCCTAGGTTTAATCCCCAGCACTAAGAAAAAAAAAGTAAATTGCAATTCAGAGATATTCAATAATTTATACATCACTGATGTATTATTTTCAATGAAGCAGCTATGCAGGATGAGGATTGTGTTTTTAATGAGATTCATTTTTTCCATTATCAAAACTAGTTATGCTCCCTCTAAAATATAGAATAAAAGGGGAGGGAAAGAATGTGTTGTGGTAAATGTGTTCTTGAATTATATCTGCTCATAATACTTTTCCATGCCTTTTCCATAGCTGTGTTTAGGTTATATTTATCATGTTCTGTTCTGCTTTTATATATTTTAAATCAGCAACATATAAATTATTAAGTATTTTATTTATTAAATGTTACTGTTTATTTTATTAAAAAGGTTATTCAGTACTAAGTATATTTTAAYATGATATAAATACTTTATAAATATCATTTGATGGCTCTATAATAGTCTATTTGGTGATTCTAACTTATACATAAGATATTTTTCCTCTTTCCAAATTATTGGACATTATCTCTAGTTTTTAAATCAAGAGCCATTTAAARTTTTCTTTACCACACTTTAATTGGTTTTCTTCAAATAAATTTCCAGAAAGTGGATGACTACATAAAAYGTCATAAATATTTTTTTAATGTTCATCAATATCTATTAACATTTTTTTTCAAAATATTCATGGAATTCAATTTTGCATTATCTTTAGGCAATAAAATATTGACTAAGTAAATTAACAAGATAAACAAGGAACAATCTTAACCTRTTTCCTTAGAAGTAAGGAAAGATCAACAAATTGCTTTATGTATTTGTAAAAGTCTCAGGAGCTATGTTGTATGAAATGATGTTTGTTAATTAATRTTTAGGGGTTCATTAAATGCAGTAAGGAATAGTCGCCATTTATTTAAAATTTGCACTTCTATTGTCCTAAAATGTTTAAAAAATATAAGGAGAAGAATTKTTAGGTGGAATGACAGTAATGCCACTTTGCTAGTCTGGGTTAGGGCATGGGAGAGGAAGGGATGATCTTAGACCTTGAGAAGAATGAGGGTGGGCTATGGATGCTTGCTCCCTTTCCCAGATTCACAGGGTGTTGATGTGGTAATGGAAGCAAGGAGCCTAMGGTGGTAACAACCAATTCAAAACTTACTACTTGAAGTTTCAGGACTTAAAGATCTCATCAACCTACCAAGCTACTCATCTGACTTAGTAGGTTTCTCCTTWCGTTTTGCACATTATGTTCATTTCCATAAATAATCACCTAGGAATTTTAAAGTAATAGATTTAAAACAATTAGGTAATCATCTAAGAGCATAAAATAAAGATAGAACTGTGCCTTATGCCATAYACCAGAATAAATTTCAAATTAAATGAACWGGAAGAAAATTTGGGAGAATTCTACAGTGATCTTGGAATAGGGAAAATCTTTTAAACTATAATATGATTCCAGAAGCCATAAAAGAAAAATGAAATGATGGAATTTTTAACACAAAAATATATTGCTGGTGAATAAAATAAACAACCAACCAAAAACAGAGGCAACATCAGGAATAGAATACAGAGACACAACAAAAATGGTGCTGCCCAAATTGTTAGTACAGAGAGTGGGCTAAATACAAACTGATAGAGAAATAAATAGACATGAGATAGGAGGAGACAGTTCACAGGAGAGAAAACACAAAAATGAGGAGATTTTCAATTTCATCCATATTAGGAGAAATGCATATTAAAGTTACTCAGAAATGCTTTTTATTTTTTAACTTTTTAAAAAATCTATCAGGCATTTTTTTTTTTTTTTAGCTAGAGCCTAATTTGTTGAGAAGCCTGGGGTGAAGGATTCTCATCCTTATCATCAGGAGTTTAAATAGGTACAGCATTAACAGAGGACAACTTGACATCAAAAATCAAATTCTCAAACAGCTGCCAAAATAACCTTTCCGCAGTATTAAGATGGACCAATAATCTCTGATTTCCTAGTTTGTTCGTGTTCCCATTCCTTAGAGATACAATGTAAATCATGCAACCTAGTACACAAAGTTCTGGATCATGGGTTCTGGCTCTTCCAACCACGTCCCGTACTTTGCTTCTGAGATTGCTCTCCCATTTTCTTATGGCTCTCTGAGCCTTGGCATTTGTTTCTCCTGGCTGGGTAACAAGGCTCCTTCTTCTGCTCTTAATTCTGCCCATGGCTGCTCTGTAAGTAAGAAGTAAGGAGGCTTCTCCAGCTTTCCAGGCTGCATTTCCACAACCCCCTCCACTGACTATTGTTTGTCTCCAGGACACTTTTAAGATATATTTCATAATCTATCAAAGAGTGAAATTTCAAAAGTTGTGGAGCAAATAAGCAATCAATTAGCAGAATTAGGTACTAAGTCGCCAGCTCTTATTTCCCAATTATTATAACTTTGGTGTCCCCATATGCACTCCTATATGAAGCGACACAGTGTTCTTAAGCAGTGACTTTGGGCCATACTGGAGGTGGGAGTAAACAGCCTACAGGGAGGTGGCAGCTCCTGCCCCCTTAATGTCACACTGTTGAACAGGCTGCTGCTGCTRTGCTGAGAAAAAAACATGTCACAAGAGAGGAGAGACACTTCGTTTTCAGTTTCTCAGAAGACAGAACACATGAAATATTTTCCAAATTGAAAACTTCCATATAAGTAAATGTCATTTGTATTTAGTTGTTCATTTTGCTAAGGCTGAGACCAAATCTGCCAAGGGCATGGGGCGAAGGATGCTGGGTAGTTGTGATCTATTTGGTGGGAAGATATATCCAAGGACTTCCCTAAAACTGGAGGAGGGAGAGGGAAAGGGAAGACAGGTTGACTTGACAGAGGAATTACTCTACACCTGAATCTCCCACATCATCCCACAAGCAGTATTGTGGTCCCATTGTAGGCTGAATCATCACCACATGAGACCTGTGCCATGATCACTACCTGTAATCAGAGTGCAAAGGATCAAAGCCTCACTCTACCTCTGAGGCATGCAGGCTTACCTGGCTGAGCCTCAGATTCCTTATTTGTCAAATTTGGGTAATAAGATAGAGGGATTAGCCTCATACTTAAATATTGTACGTACAACTGAGCATTGGAGAGTGTCAGCTAGAATAATTAGCTCCTAACCTTTTCCTTTGCCCACAGACTCATCTAATAGGATGTGCCCACTGACCCCACTTCACCCTTTCCAAGTTTTCCCGTCCTCCCAAGCATGGTTCATGATCTGCTTTCTCCACTACAAAGATTCTAAATTTCAAAGAATGGGTATTTTTTCTTACAGTCAAAACCCTATTTTCAATTTCAATTTTGAGGCCCTTAAGATATAGAGTTCTTTTTACTACTATTTAATTGTTCTGGTCCTGGAAACATTCATGTCTGAAAGCTGGGAGTGTAGGGTTTCAATTAGAATGCCGTCTCAGAATCTGTAGGCAAAATCTGTTACTCCTTCACAAGTTCTGCACAGTTGTTGGTGTGTCAAAAGACAGTCCCTCTTTACCTCTAGGAGAGAGTGTGGGTCACGTTCCCAGAAGGTTTTAGTCCTGGAAGCTGCCCTCGCACACAGATGCCATCTCCTCTTCTTCCTTCCCCACAGATGACAGTAAAGTTCGACTCAGCAGCAGCCCACCCTCCGCCACCCTGGGCAGCCTCCTGGATGATCAGCACTGGCACTGGGTCCTCATCGAACGGGTGGGCAAGCAGGTGAACTTCACTGTGGACAAACACACACAGCACTTCCGGACCAAGGGTGAGGCAGATGCCCTGGACATTGATTATGAGGTGAGTTGACTCTCCCTGCATATCTCTAGGTCATTTTCTCAACAGGCATAAGAAAACCAATAAAGAGAGCCATTGAGAGACATGGTGCACTGAGGAATCTTGCCCTGGGACTTATCTCCCCTCCATCTATGCCAGACAATCTACAGGGAAAGGAGTCCAGGAATCTGAGCAGTCAGGTGATAATGGGGGTCACAAGTGAAGTACCAACTAACTCACTGTGTGTTTTAAACTCTGAAGATTTCCCTATGACTGGGTGTACATGTGCACACACATGTATGTGCTCGCACATGTGTAGCCTTTCTGTTTTTGTCAAATCCCTTGATTAAACATAGTCATTCTTCAATTAAACATCAATTTAGCCGGGTCAATGAAAGACCTAGAWATTATAAATAAAATCTCCAGGTGTCTAGAATCTGGACTAAAATCATTAGCCTCTATGACCATTCCTATGCAGATGTTTGACTAATGCATGAAAAGCTGTTTCTCCCTGCTCCCTTGTAGAAGAGCCACAGTGAAATATACTGGATGAACACTGCCAAGGAGGTTGCACAGAGTTCTAAAAATTGGCAACCAAGAATTAGCCATTTTACTAGTAGTTGGGTTCAAGAAATGTCTATTGTACCCTTCCTGGATTACCAGGCTTAATGGTGGGCTCAGAGATGACTGAGTCTAATTCCTTGCATTGGAGAAGCTTATAGTGTATTAGTCAACATAAACCATTATAGAACAAGGAGGTGCTAAAGGGGTAGGAAGCCATGGACACTGAGAATACTGGGGTCAGTCTGGGAAATGGCAGAAGGCTCCCAGCAGGATACACTGCTAAGTCCTGGGCGAGGTAAGTTATCCTGATAGAAATGGTCAGAAAGGTACACCAGGGCACAGAGCATGATCTGCTACTAGTCTTGTCTAGGATTTGTGTTATTTAAAGCAGTAGGCCAATCGTGGTTTGTTGGGGTCAATTCAAATTATAAGGGACAAATATTAGATTTTCAGAAATTCTGTGARTTGGTTGGTAAACACAGTCGTTATTAAAAGTTAAGTTGCATAAGCTGACAATTAAGTAAAATATTTTAAAAGGCAACAAATTATTACTTTCTTATTATTTTACCATRTAATTATCTATCCATTATCTATCTAAATGAACTCTTCAAGCTTTTTGTAATCATTCTACCAGTGCAGTGAAAATACTCTGCACTGGGTTACTATAGCATGCCTTCCCAATTTCACATTTATTGATCTCCCTCTGATAGCTTGACATCCACAATAGTGGAAGAATCTATACTATGGATATTATCCAACACAATGAATCAAAGTTTGATTCTTTTTTTTTTTTTTTTTGTGGATTGTTTAGACCAGGGGTCAGAAAACTCTGGTTTGAAAACTATTTTCCTATGACTCCTTTAGGATTAATTTTTACATTTTTAAAGACTTGTGCAAAGAATAAAGAATATATGACAGAAACCATAGGTGACTGCAAAAGAGTAAAAAATCAATCGATTAAAAAAATCAACTGATTAGATGAAACTTAATGACAAAACTGAGTGTATGGTTTATTATTTATAAATTGTGTATTGCACATTACTTATAAGAGAATGATCTATGTCTATACACAACACATTTGTATGTCAGTGACCCGCCTTGGACCTCCACCTGTTAAACCTTTATCAATAGTCCACTTGAGGCAGGAAATAGTGAAAGATAAATTTTAATAATTGGGAAAGCGTGGGGTGGTAGAGGGCCATTTGAACCTTGTTAATGATCTTACATTATTGAGAATGAAGAACCACTGAAGAATTTTTTCATGATGGTAACATGGCCAATTTCTCATTTTAGATTAGCATTTCTAAATGTTTGATTCAGGGCCAGTCCAACCAGAAACCACTGGAAACTCGCTGAAAGTGAACATATTCATGATCCTCCCTTTCCTACTGAATCAGAAATTGTGGGATAGGACTCAGCAATTTGCTTAGAAGTCCTCCAGGGAATCCTGAAGTTCCTGWTATCTCAGAACCACAGTCTCACAGCAGTCACTCTGAAGGTTATGTGTGGCTCGGGTTTGCAGGTGGGTGGAAGGAAGGAATTTCTGAACAGAGAGTAGGAAATCCTGTTTGGAGACAATTTCAGTTACCAATTGAGTAGATAACACAACAGTAGAGATGGAGATTGGTGCTTGAAAAATTAGGAGGTGGCCTATTTTTTGTTTTCAATCACAATTATAAACTTGGAGAAAAATCTCTTCTTTTGATCCTAATGTTTCTTTAGTACACTGCAGATAAGGCATGCCACTCATTATCTTCAAAAAAAAAGTTGTCATTTTTAACTCAGAATGCTAGATGCCAGAATGATACTTTGGAGTTGCTGAAAATTGGAAGTCTGTGAATATCCATCACTCTCCCTTTGTCTAATTGTTTAATTGATTGAAAACGCAAAAAAGAACAAAGTGAACAYACTATATTAAAATTACCTCAAAGCAGAGAGGTCTTTGATGAATTTGAAAACAATAATAAAAGAAAAACCTACAAAATTATCACTCAGTATTACCAAGTCCCTCAAATACTTTCCCTTTAATGTCCAAGGGGATGGTTCTAAAATTCACCATTGCTTGACTTAATTGACTTGCAAGAATCTGTTTACCTATGATCTCTTGTGTATAGAAGCTGTACACAATCACAGCTGAGTGACATTGAAATGAATGTCAGCATTCCGGGAAATGAAATCCAATGATGTCACTCAGTTTATGAAGTTGGATCTGATTTCTTTAGGGCATGCATTGATGTCTTGATGTCTTATAAAAAATGCTTCCTAGGAAAGAAACACCTTGAAAAGTTTCTCCCGAGAAACCTTTGCTTCAGGGGATGTAGTCCTTTCCAAATATGTGTAGCCAGGTTGCTCTAATGATCATAAAAGAAGACAGATTGACTGTAATAGCATTGGGAGCTGCTGGCTGTGCTGGAAAACAAGAGTTATATGCCCAGAAAAGTCTCTAGCCTTGCAGATGCACTTGAAAGGGTATATGAAGAAGAGAGAGAACAGGGATGGGAGGGCCAAGTTCTATCCACCACTATCTCACCAAGTAGTTGTGTTAACCAGGGAAATGAAAACTCACAACTCTGATTACTGAGAAGCAAAATTGGCACTATTATTGGAAAGAATATAGTCAAACAAGATATTTAAATCTAAGATCTGCTTTATTTCAGAATTATATATTGATCAGGTTTGGTTTATGCCATGAGCCCTTCTGAGCACACATGAGGCCTGGGCTACCGCCAGCTAGAAAGATGACTGAGTTCACAACCTCAGGCTCCAGTGACCCAACATCAGAGCATCCTCCTGCTGTAGAGCTGTTCTCTATCAAATTTTATGTGAAGTCTAACTGTTTGATATAAACCTATTTTTCCTTCTCAGATTTTACCATATTGTGAATAGTAGTTGACAAAGAAAGTACAGTGGCTTCTTCTTAGACTGTCTTATGGAGGTCAATCAAGTGACATTATGACTTTGTATGAGGCAACTAGTTTGGCATTTGCCATGTAAGGCACGAGATTGTCTGCTTCTTGTCCAACCTAGAAGGTGAACACAGACAAGGCTCAGGGAGACCTCTGTCAAAAAGATAAGCAGGAAAAAAAGATGTAGATCAAGTACTTCGTATTGGGATATCTTCCTAGTTCACATCACTTAATCCACGTGAGTTTTCTGAATGCTGTGAGAGATACCATAGCAGTTTGCATTTCTTCTAGCCTGAAGCAGAAAGGCTTTAGAAAAGACATTTTTAGGACATTATTCCTCTGATACCCCTGTAATTGAAAAAGTCCTTTCCTATCAATAGTGCTAGGTGGCCCCGTTCTAGATCACTATATGTACTCAAACTCTAAAAAAACTTGTTTTTGAAAAAAAGAAATGATTTACATGTTTCTACTCTATAAATAACAGACATTTCATAAACTACAAAATGTATTTTAGTAAAAATCTTAAGACATATATACAAAACCCTAAAACTAGATTAAGATCCTTTCATGTTTAAAAATACATGTGTSGTATATCTTCAAAAACAAGATTGAAGTTTTTTAAAAAATGAGATATAGTTTCATAATCTAAAAATGTTTAAGGTCCTTCTAAGTATGATGTAGATTTCAGGAACCTGGGAATAAAATATATAAAAAATTTTACCTATCTGAAAAAAAATGTGCCTATATAAAATGAGAAATAAATAACTTGTACTTTTTGTAAAAACTACATTTAATAATGCCACACTCCACCAAATAACTAGAAAAAGTACTTCAAAAATATTATAATATTACTAATAAACAAAGCCTCCCTACATTATTTTGAAACAGGTATCCCACTTGAAAAAAAAAAAACAGAGAAAGAACGTGAATATAAAAAAAATACAAATGACTTTTCATATGAAAAAAAAAAACATGAAAGAAAGAAATACCAATTCATGTTCCAAATTACAAAGTCCAACACTATATAATCTGCCACAATAGCATGATAAAAAGAAACCAAAATGATATTGTATATTGTTGTTGGCATAGTAATTAATGCAATATTTAAGAAAGGATAATATCATTTAAAATTTGGAAAAACATTTCTTTCACTACAACATTCTGTTTCTAACAATTTTCCTATAATTGTAAAGTAATGTGTGCAATGGATATATTCTAGAAATTAAAAAAGAAAAATGAAAAATTTTCCCCAAATCCTTCAAAAGTAATTGATGACACATTATGATCATCTAACCAGAGGAGCAGCTCCACTTCAGTGCCTAGGAGACTTTGCATTCTCCACACAGGCCACACAGCCTGCAGTTCACAGCAGGGGTCATCTAAGTCTTGGCAAGATATTCTGAGATCCAAGGAGACATGAGAGGCTGGGGAGGATCTGCCCAGAGATTCTCTTTCACTCACCTCCCTGACCCAGGGAAGCTGTTAGGGCACAGTTTCTAATAACCTCCCCATTCTGATAAGGTGTAAGGTTTTCACCCTGTTCTCCTAGAATAC